CACTTGAGCCACAGCGCCACTTCCGGCTTTTTTCTTTTTGCTTATGTGGTGCTGAGGAATCGAACCCAGGGCCTCGAGCATGCAAGGCAAGCGCTCTAACACTGAGCCACCTTCCCAGCTCCCCACTTCTGGTTTTCTGGTGGTGAATTGGAGATAAGAGTCTCTCAGGGACTTTCCTGCCTGGGCTGACTTTGAACCGTGATCCTCAGGTCTCAGCCTCCTGAGTAGCTAGGATTCCAGGCATGAGTCACCAGCACACAGCTGATTTTTCTTTGTTTGGTTGGTTTTTGGTTTTACCTGCAATTTCAAACTGGTCAGGCATCTCCACTGTCAACTTCTGCATGGCAATGTCAGCTACAGGTCCCAGGATCACTACTGGGCGTTTGAAGCTGGCTGAGGAACAGAGAAACAAAGACAAAAATTGGAATCCTGTATTTAGCAGAGACTACTAATGTCTTGGGTGCTTGACTCCTCTGTCCACATCCTCTATATTAAACTGCCTGATGAGAAAAACTATATCTCCCGCTGGGTGCCGGTGGCTCACACCTGTCATCCAAGCTACTCAGGAGGCTGAGATCTGAAGATCGCAGTTTGAAGCCAGCCCTGGCAGGAAAGCACATGAGACTGTGGCTCAAGCAGCAGAGGGCTAGCCTTGAGCAAAGAAATTCAGGGAGCCAGGTGCCAGTGGCTCACACCTCTAATCCTAGCTACTACTCAGGAGGCTGAAATCTGAGGATCATGGTTCAAAGCCAGCCTGGATGGAAATCTCCAGTTAACCACTCAAAAACTGGAAGTGGCACTGTGGCTTAATGTAGTAGAGCGCTAGCCTTAAGCATAAAGAGACTCTAGGACAGTGCCCAGGCCCTGAGTTCATGCCCCAGGACAGAGAACAAAAAGAAAATGCTAATTTGCATAGGCCCCACCCACATCCTGGAATCCAGTCATCACCAGATGACTAACACCAGGATTCCCAGACCCTGGCCCTGCCCTACAGCTTTAGAGAGACAAGGAAACCTTTCCTCTGTGTTGTGCACCGGCACACAGTCATTCTGGGAATATTTTCCATTCACAGTCTGTTAATACTTAATAGACATAATAATATATATACTTAATAAGCTTTGCATTCTAGAAATAGGACAGATGTTCAACAACTCTTCTTGGCCCCCTCAATAACTACAAG